GGCCATTCCCAACTGTCTTGGGGAGTCATTATAGCTTATTGGCAAAACATCTAAGGTCTCAGCTTAAGTTATTTTATGATGTTGTTTTACATTTATTTTATGTACTGTTTGTTTTAGGGTTGTGTTGAAATTTGGGCACTAACATTTTCAAGTGCATATCACAGACTTTGTTTGAGGTGGCTGTAGCTGAGTGGTTAGAGCAGTCGTCCTCCAATGCAAGAGTTGGGGGCTCGATTCCACCAACAGTCACATGCTGAAGTGTCCCTGGACAAGACACTGGACCCCTCATTGCCTCCGATGTGTGTCCCATCGGTGTATGAATGTGATAAAGCTCTGATTAGTCTCTTTAGAATGATTTGTTCAATTAGCTTTGTAGAGATCTAGTAGAGGGCTGTATGAATGGGTAAATGAGGGCACAGATTGTAGTGTAAAGTGCTTTGAGTTTCTTGATAAGATAGAAAGGCGCTATATAAGTACAGTCCATTTACCATTTGTTCTAAAAAACACGAGTGGCCAAAGTCGCATAAAAATAGAGCTACCTGGTAAATCCTCTAATTGGCCAACTGCCATGGTCTAAGTGTTGATGGGATTACTTGCTGTAAAATGTCCTGCAGTTTGACTCACATGCAAGCCTTTGTAATGCTGATGGGCAGCTGAAGATGTTTGCCAGAATCTGCAAAACGTCTAAAGTTTGAGGTTTACTGCAGCTGAAAGCAAATACCTGCATACAAAGTGGTACCAGCGGACACTTTTTGTTGCTTTTGGTTCAGTTTTCTAAGATTAACATGATTAAAAGTTCAAATTTACCAGTACCTTCTTTGTACATTGATAAAGCAGTTCTGTTTAGATGAGTGTGGTCTTGTGACATGACAATGCCTTTGTGGCATTATAACAACATTCTCTGGCCTGAACAGATGACAAGCCAAATAACCATGTAAGACAGATTTTGGAGTGACATATCAGACAGCTGTCTCCACTTATGTTTTCCTTTAATTCTTCTGCTAGATACATGCAAATGAGAAGAAATGGCAGAAAGAGTAAAATAGTAAAGAGGTGAGTCAGAAAACGTAGTATGACCATCTGGTCATTGTTCTGTTATTGGGTCCTATAACTCCAGAGTAATTTACATGTAAGCACATTGTGTTAATGTGACATCAGCCAACTATGTATACTTATTGTTGACCACATTGATTTATAATGGCTCTTGGCTGGTTTTGTAGAGAACGTCTACAAAATGTTGGTGTACCTTTAGGATTGTTCAGAGAAACAAAGCATTCTGGTTGTTTACATGAACTGTTTATCACAAAACTTCAAGCTGCTGGAGAGTTGGTTGAAAGTGTTAGAAACCAGTTTGTTGTTGTGCCATCTCACAGTTATATCATTTTGTGATCAATTCCTAACGTCATGTCATGATTTTGATCAAGTCCATGCCTACAATGGTCATGGATTTTTGTCCAAACTAGGGGGATTTACAGAATAATGGGTTGATGGTTTTAATGCTGTGGTCAGCTGTGCATAGTACGCTTACATCTGTTTTTTGTTTAGAGTGCTGTAATAAAATAAAAATAAAATCATATATTTGGTGTGTTAACTTTTAAAGATGGGACATCTTCTCTTTGCTTTAGTGTTTTTATTTTTTAAGTGCTTTTGCAGTTAATTTGTTTCAAATATCTTGGAGAAGATGCCACATTTCCTTTAATGGAACTATGACATCTTGTTCCTCTGTTTTTAATCTAAGGTAGTGAATAATATTCAGAAGGTTATTTTGGTGACATTATCTAGGGGAGCCCTTAATCATCTTTTATGTAAAACTGCTTATATTCGACTAAATGCAAGAAAAACAGCAGATCTGTAATATTGCAGAATTTAGGATAAACCAAGCAGTTTTTTTAATTATATTGTAATTGATTAGATGTTTTAAAGTTCCTGCCCTGATACTTTGTATTATTTAAACCCTAAAACTCAGCTTCATCATGAAGAACAACATTTTTAGATTTGCTTTCCTCTTAAAATATTTTTACAATGCAATTAAAATGTTAATAAAATAACATTTTAAAATATGATCTTTTTTACACTATAGCATCTAAAACGATCATATGTTTCAATTTACTAAAATATTTAAAAGGTTTTTATTTATACGCTTAAAGGTTTTAATGTTGTATTAACAATTTTAAAGAGGAATAAAGAACAATTAGACGCATAAAGAAAGCAGAAATATAATAAAACCCATGATGTGATTCTTTGTGTAGAAATGCAAATAAGCAGCAGTGTTTGCTGCTGATCTTATATAAACTTCTAACTCTCTATTATGACAAATTGAACCATTCACATCAACAGAAATGATTTTTAGGTTTATCTATGAATATCTTCCAGATAGAAATGACAAAGACTAGATTTTTAATTGTCTGGACCTGAAAAAATGTGTGTACTTGTGCGTATAAGCTCATCCTTTTGTTACATATTTTGTGTAATAGCCGTTTGCTTTCATCACTTTCTCATCTCAGTGCTTCCTTTGAATTCCACCTTATGAGAAAATGCTGTCTTGGGGCTGTCGGGTCAGGTTGAGCAAAGATGACACCAGTGAACACAACCAAGCGTAGCACAGACTTCAGATCACAATTAATTATTCAGAGATCTGCCACAAAGGTTTTATAGCACATTTTTTCTTTTATTGGAAGATTAGGTTTTTTGTGCTGCAACATTCAAGCTCATAAGCATTCGCCTGATAACTATATAAAAGTTGTGTCACGATCTTATACAGCAAGCATTCCTTATGTATTTGTTCTAATGTGGCAAGGAATGAATGTAATACTGTAAATATCTTTATAGGTCAATATATTTTATGCTGGACAGGCTGCGTAAAAACTTTAGGAGTTAAGAGTTCATCCTCCTCTTAAGGCATCACCACTCTACTGTTGACAAACTTTACTTGCTTGAAGGGCAGCAGAGTGTAGGCATAGTGAAAGAAGGTGAAGTTTGTGAGCTTGTACTTCAGCTTTGTGGACTTTATCATCTGGTAAAATCTATATTTGTCCAGTTCCATATATATATATATATATTGATAAATACTTGATTCTAAAATGGTACTTTTTTTTCTGTTTTGTTGATTCTTTCTTCTACCAGAGCTGAAGCTGAAGGTTTCTTGTTAACCATGAAGTTATTATCCATCCATCCATTCGTTATCTTTTCCTGATTCTTCCTTTTTGGGTCATGGGGGTCACTGATGCCCATATCCAGCAATCACTGTGCGAGGGGCGGGCTACACCCTGGACAGGTCACAAGTCCATCACAGGGACACATAGAGACAAATGAGACAAACAACCATTCACTCTCTCATATAACGTCATAATAAAAACTGTGCGTTCTACTATTTGCCTTATTATCAAAATAATACATTTTTGTGAGACGCAGTTTGCTCACACTATGTTTTTAGTTATGTTTTCTGTTACATTCATAAAGTCTGAGATGTGTTTACACGCTTTGCACATACATTGTATTTCAAATACTCTGTGATGAATTAGCTGTTTTTCCACTGTGTCACTTATTACCATAACTGGAATATTGTCAAAGTTATCTAAAATTATAACTTTTTTTTTTTTTTAACCAATTCAAATGAAGGAAATTCTTATTTGGTGTTTAATGGCCATACATTTTTGGGCACTTCATCTGTTTTTTACTTAACCAGGACCTTGATCATTCAGTTTTCTCAGTGCAAACTTTGAACAGTTTAGAGAAGCAATTACCGGTAGTCATTTTTCACAGCGGAGTAAATGCAAAAACGACTTTATAATACCAACATACAATTAATCATGTGACCACATTCAGCTCACACTTCACACGTGTGGCACACTTAAACTAATCAACGCATGATTTAGTAGCTTTGCAGTTGCAACTTTTCACCTCTAAACACCGTCAGACTTGTTCAAATATATTTCATGTCCATCCGACTAAAAAAGAGTGCTTGTAGTATTTAAATTCCCTTACAGTACCTAAAAACAATACTCTCTCCTCCATGTGTGGATGAGGAAAATGCCACATGAAAACATCATCTGCATACATGGCATTATGTTCTGTCTTTGTGTTGCAGTTTACTAGGGAAGCTTTTGATCAGTGACACCACCCACAGATGACATGAAGCATGAAGGCCAAATCCTGCATTGGATTGATTGAACAAACACACCCCCACCATCCTCTCCTAACTCAAACTCACTTGTGCTGTCCTAATACCACCACAGTGTGGGTCCACAACAGCAGCAGCAATGGAGTGTGGCAGCAACAGCATTAAATTATGAACATTGCAGCAACAACTTGTGCAGAGTGCATTTATCTCCAATGATGCAATGACTCTCCCCACTGAAACACGCCTGCAGTTAATAGTCAAAATGAACTCCTTTGTCTTTTAAGTAAAGTGTGGATGGACACATCTTTAACTTATTAATTTAATGAGCATTGTGCTTATCATTTGTAAAGATAATTTATTTTACTGCTTTTTTCTTAGTTTAGTCATGAGTTCTCCTAATGTTTCTTTTTGTGTTCTTGCTCTTTTTCTCCCTGTTACCTTTTGTTATCCTCTCCTAAT